TCCAAACCCTACGGGGTGTCTGTACCTATATCCTGTCAGGGGCCGTCGTAACCCGAGGGGGTGTCTGTACCTATATCCTATCAGGGACCGTCGTAACCCGAGGGGGTGTCTGTACCTATATCCTATCAGGGACCGTCGTAACCAGAGGGGGTGTCTGTACCTATATCCTGTCAGGGACCGTCGTAACAGAGGGGGTGTCTGTACCTATATCCTTCATCCCCTCCCACATTATCATACCCGCAACGTTTCTATCATTGATGTTCTTACTCACCCGTCGGCCTGGCTTCCCGGTGGGCCCCATGGAGCCATGGGGACCACGAGGTCCCTGGAGCAAAAACCAGAGTAATACCAGGGGTAAGAAAAGCATGTGAGGGAGCCTAACGGCATTATGCCGCATTAATACAGATCGGAGTTACAGAGCACTCAAGATACATTAATGCACTGCAATAGCATCATCATGGGACTAACGAGGGTTTTCCTAGTGGCATATATTTCACTGAAATCGGACGATTACAACAGCAATGCTGCCATTTTATTCTCTTCAACCGAATTAGACACCTCTAAGTAGCATAAATAAGAAAGACTGCATGTGAAGGCCTTTGAGAAGGGCTGTAAAAGAAACCAAAATCACAAAGAACCAAAATGCAACATGATGCCATAGTTCACCTGCGGGCCGGAATCACCAGGGTCTCCTTTATACCCATTAACGCCAGGGGGGCCCTGAAAAAGCCAATAGAAACAGCACCAATTAACCACATATAGCAGAGATCTGCAGCTTATAGCTACAGCCAACATCTACATTTGGGAGGTGCTCAAGAATGACCAAGACATAAACTTCTCAGCTGCTTCATTAGTTAACGATCAGACAGAAATATGCAAAAGGACCCATATTATTTTATTTTGCAAAACAAACCAAAGCCTCCTAATGGCTGTGTTAGTAAACAAGGACACATGTACGATTCAGACAAAGTATCACGTACCAGAGGTCCTGGTCGTCCAGTCAGACCCATTGGGCCGGTAGCACCACGCATAGCCAGCTGGGAAGTAGAACAAGCCAGTTAGAGGGCGGTGACTCAGAGTATAGCATCTGATTCCCTTACAGACTGACTGGATGTTATGGGCTTAAAGGAGTGTGTCTGCATGATCGCGATGATGGAAATCTACTCCTCTGTCCATGTAACCGTTCATCTCTGATTGGGTAGCAAGCTCTCTATGGAGTATTGCGTCCAAAAAAAACATGTTTTTATGACTAATACATATTTCAATTCTTATGTGGGGATGCGTACACCTGCGTCGAGCTTGTGTGTGTGTGTGTCTGTGTGTGTCTGTGTGTGTGTGTCCATGGGACATGAGTGCTCCATATGGGTCTGTCTGGCCCTCCAAACTCACCCTGGCCTGCTGCATGATGGCTTGCATCTGAGATTCCTGTGCTGACATGGCAGGTCCCTTCTGACCAGCGTCCCCGCCAGCGCTGAAGCGGAACTGCGGAGGAGGAGGAGGATGGAGAGGAAGAGGGAGAGGAGCTCAGGGACGTGACTAAAGCAATGACAGAACAGAGCACACTGCAGAAGGAAAGAACGCCCACATATATCTCTTGTATTCTTCTGTGTTCCTCCAGTTGTAAAAACAAAAGCCAGCGCAGATACGCCTCTGTCGTCTTCTCATTCTTTCTCGCAAGTTAGGAACCAGCGGTAACGATTCCGCTCGTCGGCTTGCCACTGCCCCTCTTATCTCAATTAGCTTCATGGGCAGATAAACTTCAGGGAGTGAAGAACACATGCCAGGGAAGGGGACCTGCCCACACATGACCGGGAAGGGGACCTGCCCACACATGACCGGGAAGGGGACCTGCCCACACATGCCAGGGAAGGGGACCTGCCCACACATGACCGAGATGGGGACTTGCCCACACATGACCGGGAAGGGGACCTGTCCACACATGACCGGGAAGGGGACCTGCCCACACATGCCCGGGAAGGGGACCTGTCCACACATGCCAGGGATGGGGACCTGCCCACACATGACCAGGAAGGGGACCTGCCCACACATGCCAAGGAAGGGGACCTGCCCACACATGCCAGGGAAAGGGACCTGCCCAGTGACGTGGGCCATGCCGCCCCTTTTTGGCCTTTTGTATAAGATCACAAATGGAAGAAGGCAGTTTTTCTGAATGATACTAGAGTAGAGCAACAACTGATCTGCAAGTCACTTCTTAGATGATAAAGAGTAGTGTTAGACGAACACTGTGGTACTCCTTCCATTTAAAACAGGCTGAAATTATTCCTCACGCTTCTTAGATTGACATATTTCCATCTCGTGCCTGCAACTTATCTTCAAGGTGTTCAGTGCCACCTGCTGGCTACAATAGAATACAGCATCAAATGCGTATTTCATTAAATTTTTGCTAACATAAAGCTCAAAAACCTATATTTATATGTGGGCATTAGCATGAGCAGCTAGGCTGAAAAAGTTCCCGGTTATACAAGCATATTAAAAAAACACCCAAATATACTAGCGTATATAATACATTTAAAAGCAAGGTATGGCCCGGTAATTAATAAGCAGGAATTACGGGGAAGGTTTAGGGGTTTTATGGGTCTTTTTATGGGTAAATAAGTAAGATATAAGTCAAGCAGGTCAGGCACTCATGAGCAATGCCACTATGAATCCCCCGACCCCCTTAGGACCTGCACAGCTTCATCCATACCTTTGAGCAGGGGGGGGGCCCGAGGGCTGCCGATTACAACGACAAACCTCCTTTATTTGTGTATTCACAGTAATGAAATTTATTAACTTAGTTTATTAAATTCTCTATTATTAATGTAGACTTAAATACGCTAAAATAATGGTCATAAATTTTACCATGTTGGGGGGGGTGCATTGGAGGGCCCATGGAGTTTTTTGCCCCCAGGGCCCCCAGTGTCCCTAGACTCGCCTCTTCTCTTGGTGTCGCACTGAGGAGCCGACCCTGTGCTGTAAACTCCTGCATGCTTATTCTCAACCTCAGTCTTAAGGAGGCTCACCCAGCCCGCAGTACACGGCCGACCCTGTGCTGTAAACTCCTGCGTGCTTATTCTCAGCCTCAGTCTTAATGAGGCTCACCCAGCCCGCAGTACACAGCCAACCCTGTGCTGTAAACGTTTGCTTTTCAGGGTAAAATGTCACGGGCTGGAGCCTGTGCTGCATCTCACCACAGCTTGTCCTTCATGAATCTCATATCTGATCGGCCCAAAGCAAGCCACAGGAAACTCAGTGAGAAAGGCGTAAACTTCCCTGAATCTCTATTCATCCTGTGCAACTTGAACAAATGCTCCCTAAGTCAGGTCACATGGGAAAGGCCACAGGCGGAGAAAAAGTGAGAAGTGCGTCTCGGGCTCCGCGCACTTTATGTGGCCAATTGGGAGAGAGACAGGAAATGTGATGTTGCTGTCTGTCATTGATTAAATGCTTAGTAACCATTCTGTATTGTTATACAATAATGTCAAAAACATTCCTCTTTCAGTAAAAATTCCAAATGCAGGATACTTTTCATGTAGATTTGGATAGGGAGATCTACAGCCTCAAATAGGAAGCATTTACATTAATATTTTAGTATTATCATGTTCCAAGATCCTGCATAGCTACAAGCTTGTGAAATTAAACATCTGGTTAAACTTAGTGATTACCATATATGTTTTAACTATTATACATTAATATAGCTGTTCTTTTGTTTTCTTGTAAACCCAGCCTGATCTGTTGTTTCTGCTTCCAAAATAATGGACATATGGCAGCACATACCTGTAAGTGTTGTTTTTCTCAATCATTTTTACTGTTCATTACCACTGAGTGGCAGCATTTTGCAGAAATATTTTGAATTTCACATGCAGAGGTTATTACATCGTGGTTATAAAATCATACTATAATAAGATTTGTTTCAGTGATGTAACACGTACAGCATTATGGAGCCGCCAGCCTTGAAGCACATATGGGGATCAGTAACAGGACATCAGAGGAGAAGCACACACTGACGGCAAATCCAAAGATGAGGCATGCACTCAGAGCAAAACATATTTTTGCTTAATTATTTGCAGCTTTAGAACAAAGCAAAAAAAATGTGAGATAGTATAACAAGCCAAATATTCATGTTAGAAATTATTACCTTCTTTCCGAAGTTTCACAGAAAGATAAAAGGCAATTGTTCTCATGTACTTACAGGCAGCATCAAGACAGTCCCTGGGGGTCCTGGCAGGCCATCTGCTCCGGGAATCCCTGGGCGGCCGGGGGGACCCTGTGAACGAGCAAAACTATCACGTCAACACTGCGGAATGAAACTCCGAGTCGTAAATGGCTTAATCACGCAGTCAGCATGGACACAATCACAAAACATTCTGCTTCCTGAAATCCATGTAGGCTGATTGCTTGATTGTTGTAAGAAAGAGAAGCAGAGATGATCTTTAATAACAATAATTGATACTTTACTGATCCCCATGGGGAAATTGTCATTACACTTCCCTGAACTTATTCTTTGTGGAGTAATTTGTCCGTGAAGGGCAGCCACCCGTAGTAGCGCCCAGGGAGCTGGGGGTTAAGGGCCTTGCTCAAGGACCCACAGACATGCTGAGGCTGGGTTTGAACTGGTGACCTTCTGATTACTGGCATATAGGCTTAGCCCACTGAGCCATATGCTGCCTTTTAGTGCAGTAAGGTTCTCATAAAAAAGAAGGATGATCCTAGACTAGATGTGACGGAACATTGTGAACGTGCAGCTCCTCCCTCTCTGAAGATCACCAGTGATTAGAATGTTCTGTTTCATCAGTGACGCATCAAGAACAACTATGATTCCTCATGTCACCAACTAATCTCTCTCCTTGTGGGACTGATTGACCCACTGATTGTGGGAACTTTTTTCACGTAATGATTCCTGACACTATAAGATCCCCCCCAGTAATCAGTCACACTGAAAATGAGCTACATCTTCCATGATCTCTGACAGAGTCTGGGTCAATCTAATTTTAACAATCAGCAATGCTGCAAGTACTGAGCGAACCTTCTTTTAATGAGCACAGATGATTAATAGGAGATCAGATATTTCTGATGTTCTGTGACAGTAAGAAGCTTTTCCTTCCCTAATGATTAACTGCACCAAGTTCTCTAATTATCCCCGACAATTAGACTGTCCTTCCCTTGATTTAGTGATAACAACCACTTAGAGTGAGCTAATGACTAACATGGGAAGCAAAATCTTCACTGACACAGTCAATGAAGAAATCACTAACACAGATAATGTTCACTAACACGGTAAAAGAACAGATCACAACACGGAGAATACTCACTTGCGCAGTAAATGCAGTACAAGTCACTGATACAGAAAATGAACCGTGACACTGAGAATGAACAGACTTTTTTCCCACAGATACTGAGAATGATATTATTGTTAAAGAATGATATTATTGTTATTGATAAAGACAATAAGTTCTGGACCTTTCAATGACCGACAGAGAGTCAGAACAGTAAACACTGATGCTTGTCTGCCTTGAATGATCACTGCACTGGGAGGAGCCCTCATCTTTCTGACCATCAGTGACCCTGCCAGCCTCTTTCTCTAAGTCCGCCTGACAAAGGCACTTTCGATCACTCTCTCAGAGTCACCATCAGCCTGAGATGGAGTCTCTCATGAGCAATCGCTGACACAGTAATATTTGAGCAAACCATGCGCACCATATGAAGCCCTCAAACAAAACAAATCATAAACCAATGAAAAGACCTGTGGCTGCTTTAGATCCAGAGAAATGTAGGCTAATTATATTAAACAAGAGATGAGGATGCAGTAAAGAGCAAGGGAGGGACCAGGGAGCTCAGCGAAGACTCCAGCTTAAGACCGGGTTCTGTTCCGACACACAGGTCGTATGTTGAAATGGACGTCGGTCGGAATCGGATGATCACATTGGATTTTAGGTGTGAGGGTGCGACTGGGAGATACGTGTGAGGCTGGGAGATACGTGTGAGGCTGGGAGTTACGTGTGAGGCTGGGAGTTACGTGTGAGACTGGGAGTTACGTGTGAGGCTGGGAGATACGTGTGAGGCTGGGAGTTACGTGTGAGGCTGGGAGATACGTGTGAGACTGGGAGTTACGTGTGAGGCTGGGAGATACGTGTGAGACTGGGAGTTATGTGTGAGGCTGGGAGTTACGTGTGAGACTGGGAGATACGTGTGAGACTGGGAGATACGTGTGAGACTGGGAGATACGTGTGAGGCTGGGAGATACGTGTGAGACTGGGAGATACGTGTGAGGCTGGGAGATACGTGTGAGGCTGGGAGTTACGTGTGAGGTTAGGAGATACGTGTGAGGCTGGGAGATACGTGTGAGGCTGGGACATACGTGTGAGACTGGGAGATACGTGTGAGGCTGGGAGATACGTGTGAGACTGGGAGATACGTGTGAGGTTGGGAGATACGTGTGAGACTGGGAGATACGTGTGAGGTTGGGAGATACGTGTGAGACTGGGAGATACGTGTGAGGTTGGGATAGTCGAGCTGTGGTACAGTGTGGTATTTTCCCAGGGCAACTAGCTACTAGGTAGTGTAGCACTGCCCGGCATACAGCCACCCAAAATTTTATTTAATATATATTTATTTTTAAAAAGTCACAGGCAGCTGGTCTGGCCCCGTTTATCAAATGAAGCCCTATCAGTTATTCTGTGTACAGGTCCCTTCTGGTACGCTGTCTGGGGGCTCGGTCACTGGAGTCCCATCTAAACACTCATCACAAGCTGGCAGAACACAGATTACAGTCTGGATGCGATCTTCACATTCCCACAGTCCAGAACGAGCAGTCGAGGAAGAGCTAAGTGATGGAAGGGGTGACGACCCGGGCTGAGAAAGCGAGACGTCCTGCGGGCTGTGACTAACTGGGCGGGTAGGGAGGGGGGGCGATCTAACCCGCTGCTCTCTATCTGGGCTGTTCACATAGCCTGCAGGAAGCTCACTGGCTCCCAGTACTCAAGGAACAATGACACAGCACTGTGAGGGTTCTGCCGTAGACGGACCATGGGGACTATCAACGGCTGTACGTACCCTCTCTCCAGAGTCTCCAGCCGGACCAGGGGGGCCAGATGATCCTGGGGGGCCAGGCAGACCCTGCAGATGACATCACACGCCGTCACTAACCAATGACACATCACATGGGGAGAGGCCCATTTCACACAAGGGGGCGTCGGCTAAAGGCGGAAACTCCCACCCTCCATCAGAGCTACAATATAGCTCTCTCTACTCTCTACTGTTCTGTGTAGATCTTGGCAAAGGTGACTGACTTCTTATTTTTTTTAATTACAAGTATTATAGGGACAGAACACTGCAGAAGAAAGAGCATGTCACACTGCAAGTGCTTGAAAAAGTCGCTCTCGCATCCAGACATGACATCTCAGCTGTTTCTCTGACTTGATAAAAGTCGACGCCAAATGATTCAGGGCTGCGTCTTACAAAGTATATTCAAATATTTATATAAGCAAAAAAATAAACAGAGAATGCATTAGGGCCCTGACTGGTTTGCAGAGTCATGGATGTGAACTACATCCAATAATGGTCTGAGCTGAAGACAGCAAGTCTAAGAGAACCAGGGGAGGGGGCTGGTGTGTGGAGACTAGCCAGACTGAGCTGTTAAGTGGACAGGCGAAAGAAAGAGTGAGTGGGAGAAAGAAAGAGTGAGTGAGAGAGGCAGATACTTACAGTGGGGCCTTCAGGACCAGCTGGGCCTTCGAGCAGCATTCCCTGCAACACATCCAAACAGATGCGATTCAGGCTAATAATGAGGGCGACTCATGTGACCCACAAGAAGGACGAGCCAGAGCGCAGGATCACATTACAGGCTCTGACAGCAGAAAGGAGTCCCCACAAGCAGCAGGGGCGAGCGGCGTGGCCTCGGGGGCCCTCGTGGGGCCCGCCGAACCGATGCGAGATTTAACCCGAGGCTCTATTCCCCTTGGCAGGAATTCCGGTTCTGTTCATCGGATCTTTGTGGAGACGAAATTCTAAACTGCATGGTGAGGCGTCCGTGAAAGCTGGAGTGGGTGTGCGTTTGCAGTGATCTCGGCCCCCCCAGAGTGACAGGGAGGGAGTGAGCGTGTGTTTGCAGTGATCTCACCCCTCCAGAGCGGCAGGGAGGGAGTGAGCGTGCGTTTGCAGTGATCTCGCCCTCCCACAGTTGCAGGGAGGGAGTGAGCATGTGTTTGCAGTGATCTCGCCCCCCCAGAGGGGCAGGGAGGGAGTGAGCGCGTGTTTGCAGTGATCTCGCCCCCCCAGAGTTGCAGGAAGGGAGTGAGCATGTGTTTGCAGTGATCTCGCCCCCCCAGAGGGGCAGGGAGGGAGTGAGCGTGTGTTTGCAGTGATCTCGCCCTCCCAGAGTTGCAGGAAGGGAGTGAGCATGTGTTTGCAGTGATCTCGCCCCCCCAGAGGGGCAGGGAGGGAGTGACCATGTGTTTGCAGTGATCTTGCCCCCCCAGAGTGGCAGGTAGGGAGTGAGCGTGTGTTTACACCAATCTCACACCGTGCTTTCTGAGGCGGCTGTGTGTTTGCAGTGATCTCGCCCCTCCAGAGAGGCATGGAGGGAGTGATCGTGTGTTTGCAGTGATCTCGCCCTCCCAGAGTTGCAGGGAGGGAGTGAGCATGCGTTTACACCACTCTCACACCGTGCTTTCTGAGGCGGCTGTGTGTTTGCAGTGCTGCCACACCGTAACCCCCAGAGTGGCAGGGTAGACGTTGATGACAGCAGGAGTGAGCGTGCATTTGCACAGGGCGGATGTGGCTAGGAGCAGGGTCTCCCTCGCCATGGCCGTCACTGCCACTCTGCAGGGTCTCCCTCGCCATGGCCGTCACTGCCACTCCGCGGGGTCTCCCTCGCCATGGCCGTCACTGACACTCCGCGGGGTCTCCCTCGCCATGGCCGTCACTGCCACTCCGCAGGTCCCGCCATATTTGCAATGACAACAGCCGAGCAGGGAATCCCCCTGGGGCTCTGAAACCATTCGACGACTGGTTCCCATCCGACATACCCAAATGCCCACCCTGGGATGGAATCCTGGTACCGCAACCAAACACACCGACCACATTCTTGACACTGCTGCCAAAGTCACCACATCACAGTGTCTTCTACATAAGGACAGCGGAGAGCTTCAGCCTCTGCTTGGCATATTTCCAGGGTGGGGCGGCACCCCATCCAGGATGATCAACTCTAACATGCAGCCTTTCTTTACCCATCCATCCATACATCCATCCATCCATCCATTTTCTGTACCCACTTGTCCTATTCAGGGTTGTGGGGGGGGGGGGGTCCAGAGCAGATCCCAGAAGCTATGTGCACAAGGTAGGGAATAACCCAGGATGGGGTGCCATCTCATCACAAGGCACACACACCTTTCTTCATATACAAGAAAATATTACCTGCTTCCTGGGGCTTGTTTTCTGGAACACTGCAGGCAGCCACGCTTGCCAGAGTGCTTTATGCTTATGGGCTGTGAGCATTAACTTCTGACCCCCCCACGTGCATGTGAGTTACAGGCTCATTAAGGTCAGTCTGCTATATTACTGGCTGTGTTCACACTTAATCGTCGTTTCACTGCCTTTTGTGTTTCGTCACAGCTAATTTGGAATGACACATTTAATTTCCTGGTGAAATCTCCATGGAAAAAAGATGATTCTTTTCCTCTTAACAGTCGTCCTCACAAAGAGACAAATATACAAATAATACATAAGAAATAATTCTTTTACTCAGACCAGATGGGGTGAAAATCCAGTTTCACTGGCCTGATACAGGTGGGACAAGAGAGGCTGGATACAGGAGCGAGACGGACATGGTGGAGGACTTCTGAAGGTTAGGACAGTGGTCTGTCAACACGGTTATGCACATTCAGCCATCAGCTACTCTGTAATTATATGACCTCTCTCCTCCCCAGCATGCACGCCCCTTACTCCACGGTGATCTTCTGACCCTCGAGGGGACTAGACTCGTCTAGTCACCCATAACAGATACTGTCAGTCTGCAGCCCTCTGCTTATGGGCTCTGCAGATCTGAAACACATCCATGAACAAACCACTTCCCGCTTTGTCTCGGTCTACATGAAGCATATCTCAAAGTCCTTCAGCCAAGAACTCTGACAGATATTTCCGTTCCGCACCACATGGGGCAGCAGCTGTGAACTATGTGGCCGTGTTGCCATACATATGCGGGTACTGGGGGGTGAGGCCCCCGATGGCAGCCTCATAACAGCATGGAAATCAATACTCACGGGCTCAATGATGGCCGGCTCTCCTTTCTGCCCCTTCTCGCCTCTGGCGCCGTCGACCTGCGGGAGAAGAAACCCAGCCTTATGTCGCCATCGTCCTGACCGTCCACCCACCCCGGCCCCCTCCCCGGTCGCCGGTCTCCCATGTTGGGGGGCTGGTTAGGCTCAGCACCACCTCCACTGCAGCAGAATGGTAGCAGACGCTAGATGTAATTCGGTTCTTTAAGGATAATGGAGAGCAGAGCCCCATCCCGGGATTAAAGCTCCTTACCACTTCATAGAACTCATCCTTTTCCGCGGGCAGCTGCTTTGCAGTGTCAGTGTCAGCATCTGTGTAATGTTCGTAATAAGTGTAGTCCTCCTCCTTGAAATTATCTACGTTGTATGTGTACTCTGCCTCTTCAGTGCCACCCTGACCACCCCCAGCACCAGCAGAGCTGCCTCCGGTTCCAGCTGCTGCGCCCGCTGCACCAGTTGCCCCTCCACCGATTCGGGATGCTCCAGCTCCAGCTCCTGTTCCAGCTCCTGCTCCAGCTCCTGCTCCAGCTCCTGCTCCAGCTCCAGCTCCTGCTCCTGCTCCAGCTCCAATTGATACATCCACACCACTTGCAGATCCACTGGAAACGACCGTGGATCCGCTGGAAACGACCGTGGATCCGCTGGACACGACCGTGGATCCGCTGGAAACGACTGTGGATCCGCTGGACACGACCGTGGATCCACCCACTGTACCAGCCGACCCCCCCGCGGAGCTAGATGAGCTGCTCCCAGTGCCCGTGGAGCTGTGGTCCGTACCAGTGTGCCCATCAGTGTATTCCTCTGAGCCGTACTCGTATCCGTAATCCAGATTGCCATATTCCTCAGTGTCACGGTCCACATAATTTACAACCTTAAGGAAGAAACAAAACCCCATTGATGAACAAAGATGCACTTGGATGCAGCCTGTTATCACAGTTCATGTCACAATAACTCCAGGGGCTGGAACGCATTATGTTCACTGTGTCATCAATGCCAGCGAGACGACCACCCAAGAAGCCTGTTCCATCTAATAACTCAAGTATATTAACAATACTTTTCAGATTTATGAAGTTACAACAATCTGGAAGCAAAATATGCATTAAAAATGCCCAAGATATGCAAAAACACACTTACCTGGGTCATGTTATGTGTGACAACTGATTCAATTTTGTCCAGGCCTGGCACAGGACTCAGATCGACCTCTCTTCTGAATCCTAGTCCCAGGTCGATGTCTGTCCGTGTCTCAGCACCCGGCCCGCCACTGACCACATGTTCATGGGATCCTGGGACCAAATCAGTTTCCTCGTAGGTCTCATAATTATATGCAGCCCCATCGTAACTGTCCGTGGGGTAGACTTTTGTGGTGATGTCCTCCGCCGTCTCCGTCCTCGCCGTAGACATCACCTGACCATGGAAAGGAAGTTCCCGGCATTTCACTAGTGTGACGTTTACATACCTCTTTCAATTAATGTCTTGTAAATAATATGTTAATCTCTAGATGCAAAACTCAAAGCATTTAAATGAACAGAGGGAGTGTATAGCTATAATAATAATAATAACAACAACAATAATAACTATAATAATAATAATTATTATTATTATTATTATAGAATTTATCCTTGTAAATATAAAGTATATTTGTCAATCCATCATCCATTCATCCATGCATATGTCTATCAATGACTGTTGAGTAATGAATATTTCATTCTGGTTGGGTGACAAAGTTACCTGGTCTGGATCGGTGTCATAGTAAGGGTACTCATAGTCATAGTTGTCTTCCCCAGGAGGCTGAGCATAGATAAAGGGCAAACAATCAGTTGTAGCCCAGCACTTGTGGGCCAGTTTAACTCAGTTGTAAGAGAGAGTTTAAATGTTGTAACAGTTCATTCAAAATGCATTAAAAACACTTACATGCTGCTAATGAATGTTCTATGAGTGCATTATAAATGCATTATGAATGTTCTATGAATGCATTAGGAATGCAGTATGAAGTTGCAGTTAATGTAAAGAATTACCTTAAATGGTTATAAAGAAATCCTGTAATATAATAAACACTATAATGTTTCTAAAATGAACAGGATATTTAAAATATATATAATCAATCAATAATTGGTATTTCATGGTTTGTTTATTGCAGGTGGATTTTCAGTGTGATTCTCTGAAATATATCCCAGACCAGACAGCAACAAGCTTTAAGGAATTTTGCGGCAATGAAAAGCAAGCGAGGACCGAAATTTGGATGTTGTTTTTTTTTGGTCATGCAGATGTCTTCTCTCGAAGCGTATTCGCTCTGCTGTGACCCTGACTGCTTGCAGAAAGAGCGCATCCTGCTGGAATAACGAGCGTATCCTGCTGGGATAACGAGCGCAGCTGCGGGATGCAGACGGCAGAGGACTTTACTCGCCCAGACAAGTCCGGACTGGAAACATCCTGAACGGTTTATAGTAAAAAACTCTACCCAAAAGCCCCACTTGCTCAAACAGCAGCGTGGTGACAGGTAAGGTGGCCAGATCTATGTGTTATATACTATAAAATCAAGGTGAATGTCTATCAACATGTGTCAAGTAAACCAGATTTAAGATTGCACATACACTAATTCTTATTTGTTTTATATAGCCATGTAGTTAAATGTAACTGAATATAATTTTAAAAGGCAAAATTTTTGTTAGAAATGATGTTATAGAATGTATACAATATTATATCTAGATTTTGTTTTGAGTCATTTTTATTACATATTGTCATTGGTCCACAGCAGAAGCCAGCATTCAGAGAATATGTAAATTTTATTTATGAATGAACTCCCATTCTGGAAGTAGCACTATTCTTTAAAACACAGGGCTTGAGTTCCATTTTAGTCCCAGATCACTTACAGTAGTCTTCCTCCTATTTTGAAAATAGCGTGTCACTCTGCAATAAAAGAATCATCATTTTCATTTCAGGCCAATTCACCAAGTGGTCGAGCCGCTTCAGTCTGTCTCGGCCTAAAACACCTGTAACTGCCCGCTTAAACCCGGAAGAGCCTCATTGGCTGGAAGCACAACTCCGATTAATGCTGAGCTGTACTCCTAAGCCGAATGTGAAACCGGCAGCTGGGAAGAGGAATGCATGTCGTAGAGGGAGAAATGAAACCAGCAGGGGAAAAAAATGTTGGGCCTCCTCTTACATAGTCATATGGCTCTGGGTCCTGGTTCTGAGTGGATTCAGGAACCGGCACCTCACAGTCAGGGCTGTAGTGCTCACAATAGTCATCGGCCACCCGGTGGTCAGCGGCGATCATCAGCTGCTGGATATCTCCCTGCAAAACAAAAAACCAATGGACTGCAGCCAAATGTCAAGTTTTAAATGGCCGTGATGCCTTCATCCTCTACTCTAAATCTACGGCATATATCCTTATACAGAGATGCACTTATGTAGCAAGCATAGTGGTTTCTCTAATTATGGTTTCATATTAGCCCTTAATACAATAGACAGTTATTGACGATATACATTGATATTGAAGCAACTTGCAAGCAACTCCAAACATCTGGTACTGAAATCTATAAGTAAAGGATGGAGAAGATCTTTGACTCTACAAAGGACCACAACTCAGGGAAATGGATAAAGTAATAATCATGGGGCGGGGGGGTAATTCACAACAGATGGGAATGAGGAAATCTTGAGTCATAAAGGATGTTGTGTATGTTCTGTTATACATCGTTTGCACAGCCCAGAAAGACCACAGATCCACACTGCAAAGAGGTAAACATGTAAAGTGCTGTAGATTAAGCAGTTTGCAAGTCATACAAACCCCAAAGACAACTGGTAACGCTTTACAGTAAGTGTACCTTCATAATGCTTTTATATTGTATTCATAAAACGTTCTGTACACCTTCATAATGTATTCATAAAACATTCATAAACACCATGTAATATACATTAATAACAAACATTATATAATAATAACAAACATTATAATTGTAAAATCATGTAATGTTTGTTATTAATGTATATTAAAGCTGTTAAGGGATGTTAGGATGTTAAGGTGTACTATGAATGTTCTATGAATGCATAATGAATGCATTATGAAGGTGCACTTAATGTAAAGCATTACCAGACAATCTATCAATATTGACCAAGAAATGCAATTTCTTGAGCAGTTTCTACTTTATTTTTAAATCCATTTAATGTTCCATCTTTGGGATTTATTGCCATTTTTCACAGGAAGACGACCACCGACGGGAGGCAGGACACCTAAGAGTCTCAGAGTGTAAACATTCTGGTTCAGGGCGAATAGCAAGGAAAAATACTGCAGGAAATGAGCTGGAGAGGCTGATAACCCCAAACCTCTGCTTCCTAAAAGCCATTTTAACTCTTTTCTTTCAAAAACAATAAATCTGAAGATTTAAGCAGTTACGCCAGAAGTACATTTACACGCACGGTTTATGTCGTGGTTTTGTTTTTATTGCTTTCTAAATTTCAGGCTCGCACATAACTATCACAACCCATTCCTTCCTTCCCACAGAGAAACTGTAAAGACACTGTGCTCTTGAATACAGGAGGAATTTAGGTGGAAGTTTATTAAATCCATCTGCCAAGGGCTCAAACTTATTTTTCCAAATATGTAATTGCTCAAGGGCTACAAAATAAAAATGCATATTTTATTGAAAATTTTTTCTTGCTTGAGTTTCTGAATTACCCCTTTTTTCTTTTTTCTTCTTTCATTTGAGAAAAAGCATAATTACAAACAGCCTATATTTTCTTCTACATAACAATTTTGAGAAAGTACCCACAGCAGCTAAGAAGTAAACGATCAGTTAAACGGTGCAAATAGCACTAGGCATTTAGTGAGATTTCAAAATCGACGTGACACTCCCAACAAAACACAAGGTCTGGAAATTCAATTACTCTGCTTTTCACGCTGCACGTCTTTCACTGGAGAATTGACTGAAAAATCAACTCAGAGACACACTTTCCGGCCTCTGGTATTTCTTAGTGTTTAATGCAAACCAAGCCTCACTGAGCCAGACACACCGGATCAGTGGAGAAGTCAGGAGGCCGTCTCTGCGTGTCCCAGCAAAACGGCGTGGAGAATCGGAAGCATCACGCTTATTTGGAGTGAGACGGAGTGCAGCAAAGAAATCCATCTGAGGTCATGAAGTTTAGCTGGATTTAGGGCCGAATTTAACAGCGATTATGAGCTGACCAGATGAGGTCACAAATCCTCCTTCTTTTGATGGAAAATGCATTAGCACTGATACCCAACCTGTACGTTTATTTAATGATCTGCACATTTTTATAAGACGAAAATGTCCCTGCATCTTCCAGCTGCTAACCCAGTGCAGAGTTGGAGGAGGGGTGGAGCCTGCACCATTATCCCAGGCAGCCTAGGGCACAGGGCAGGGGGCACGCTGGACAGGACGACGGTCCATGTCAGGGCAAACACAACAACCAAGTTAAAAATGCATGTTGCTGGACTATGGTAGGGAACTGACACGACACATGGGGGAACAGTGCAGACACGGAACTCAGGGTGGGATTTTCTAACCCCCAACCGCGGAGGTGTGAGGCAACAGTGACACCCACTGAGCCGCCCCAAGCAGCATTATTCTCAGTGCTTAATTTGTAAATCAGAAGGTGCCGGAACACGAAGGGCATATGAGGGCAGAGGGCTAAAGAGGCGGGCGCAGCTTCCGGAACACAAGAAAAACATGGCGCTGAAAACATGCTTGCGTGAAAAGTGATGTGTAAAATTAAAATAAATATTTATTATATTTTGTTTATTGTTCTTCTTTTCTTAACCAGAGAGCTGCCAGATCTGCGCAAATAAGTGCCAGAGTTACATATATAGCGTTTACTTTAAGCATGCCTACACCAGCTAATTAAACTTTGGGATAAACATGATATTTTATCCCACAGGTCACCAGTGACCCTGGTCTTAACAACAGTAAGCGTTCCGAAATGAAGAATGAAGGTCACCAGATGCCAGATTTGTTTTTCTTTTTATACAGTCATGTTCATTAGGGAGGTTTCTTCCTCTTAGGGAGTTTTTCCTTGCCACCGTTGCCTTTGGCTTACTCACTGGGGGGTCCTTACGAGGCAGAAATGTAAAGCGCATTGAGACAATGTAATGTTGTGATAATGCGCTATATAAATAAAATTGAATTGAATTGAATTGAATTAGTATAAAATATGCCATCATCCCCCACTGGTGACTCACACCCAGCTGCAGAGCCTCTGACTTCTGGTGAAGTGCTTTGATGCCTACAGACTGTACATAAGATTATGCGTTTTTTTCTTTCCTTGTACTAAATATAGTAAAAGTTTGAAAATAATTTTTATAAAATCATCTACTTCTGAGCACATGTTCAACAAAATACCTTAGTCAGGTTTCCCAGTATTTCATACTTACTACGTAATACTTCTTCCTGATAGATTCCTGCTCACATTTGTCTGGTATCAGCAAAAACTGAGATATCTACCTGTCTTCCAAAAAGTCGAAGCGCTTCCCCTGAAGCTGACAGTGAAAAAGCCGCTCCGGCTTCCCCAAGAACTGTGTTAACGACCAACATCTGCTGTCTCTTCCCTTTCAGTATAAACATATCCCAGCCATGTTCTCCCCGATTGCCTCAGATCCCAGCCATGTTCTCCCCGATTGCCCCAGATCCCAGCCATGTTCTCCCCGATTGCCCCACCCTAGCACTTCGCACACAGACAGCAGTAAACTGATATTGTGCCTTTTAGACATGCAGGTGCCCCGATATATTGCCTGATACTTGACCTGTCCTTTGAACCATCTATGCCTACATACAGTACCACCATGCAGGGAGGAAGCAACCATGAGGGACGGTTGCCCCCCAGTATTTAATTTGGTTCCATTCATCCCCCCAATTAATAGTATTTAAAATACTAAATTGTGCCCCCCGATATCTCTCCTATTCCCCCTCTCCACACAGGCACAAACTCTCTCCTATGCTGTTGCCACTTCGATAATTCTAACAGCTAACCAAAGGCATCCAAATTCTCTCCAGTACAATGCAAACTGTAGACTCTGTGCGACTCAAAGACATACAGGCTATTCTACAGAGACCTTCCTGCCTGAAAAGCAGCGTCCCATCAGCACAGAAAGTCTCCCAGTTTGACAGCAGCTAAAAACAGTGTGAAAAATGTTATAAACACAGGTTCGAAACGTCTCCGGATAACTGGCTGGTTGCACTAGAGCGCCCTCCACAGGCAAGGCTGTAGGCAGGCAAGCTTCCCAGAGTCTTGGCGCTGGGGCGAGAGTCACTAATGGTTAGGGGCCATTCGGGAATCCCACACTGCAGCCACACCAGCATCACCATACCGACGAGTCACTGTTTGGATCCATCGATCTCAGCAAGGCACAAGGGTGCTCTTTTAGAAAGGGACCTAAGGCGGGGGGGTATTCTCTGCCCATCCTGCGCTTAAAACAAAACAGGAGGCCTTTGAGAATGCGAGCAAGAGAGAGGCGAATGAAAGAGCGCATTGTCTCGTCAAAGCCGTGTGTCATGTCTCAGGCGGTGAGTCAGCCGCCAGCGATGCAGTGCTCCCTCGGGGCTCCGGGGGACGTACTAACTGAGACCTCGCAGCCGGAGATTGTTTTTAATAGCGGTGTCCTACTTTCCAGTGGCGGCCCTCAGAATGAGGTCCAGACGTGGGGAGCCGGATGCTCAGCCAGCGCCCTGAAAGGCGGCACGTTTGGCAGCCGCACCCCCGAGGCGTCCCGGGGCACGAGCTCAGACTGTAAGCGTCGCGCCAGCTTCTGCAGCCCGCATCCCGTTACGAGCCACAGAGACGGCAGCAGCTGGCCGCCCGTCATCCTCCCTTCCTCATATAACCCCGACGGCGGAGGTGTGCTGGATGAGGCTCTCAGAAGATCAGCTGTATCACATACAGCGTCCACTGCAGAGCTGACAGAGTGGCCCAGCCTGATCATTCTGACTCCTCATTCTGACTCCTTCCATCTTTGCCGGCAAGGGAGACGTGTGCTTTTTTCAATGGATGCACACCTGTTATATTAAAATATGTATAAATTACGTTTGCATACAGCCATGGAAAAAATTAAGAGACCACAGCACAATTTTTTGTTTCACTCACTTCTCAATTTATGGGTGCGCGTCTGAATAATTTACATATGTTTTGCAAACTCCAGCCTGGCTCTTCCCTGCTTCTCAGTGATGAAGGGCTTCTTCCTTGCTTTATGAGACTTCAGTCCTGCTACTAGGAGCCCGATACAAACTGTCCTAGCAGTGCACTTCACACCTGCACTTAATGTGTCTCATTCCTTTTGAAGGTCACTTGATGTCATCCTCTGATTCA